AGTTCAAGGACCCCTCGCCTAAAACATAAAAACATCCCTTAACTAATCTGGGATTTTACGGCGCTGTTAATTAATGTCTATCACCGGGTTTTCATTTCAAAACAAGCTAAGAAAAGTACAGATGGTGACATTTTTTCCCTTCTTTGTGTTGAGTTGGGTTGAATAGACTGTTGTCATTTTGTGAGTCAGCCAAGATTGTAGTGAATATGACCCACATGCAATGCAATGCAACCCCTCTGAGTACGACACAAGCCACTGGACCCTCCTGCCCTTGGCTTTGCTGTTTCTATTACGGGAACTAGCGGCTTTCTGCACTGCGCTGTGCCGTCCTTGTGCGCTCCTTTGTTTAACGTTTCTTGCCATAGAAGGCCATATCACAGTGAGGAAAAAAGTGCCTGTGTCAACGTGTCATTTTTGAGCTAGCAACTCAATGCTATAATTGAATCGTTTAATCGAACCAATTAAAATTTAGTAATAGAACTTAATCCTTAAATTTCCGTGATATTTGAAATTTATGCAACAACTTATTCAACAAATGATTTAATGGAGTGAAAAATATTGTTGTGATTAATCTCATATTTCTTTTTTTTTTTGGATGATTTTTTTAAGGATTCGAAAATGAGATTGATTATATAAAATTTCACTACTCCTCTAAATTATTTTTAGAATAAAAATTTATAATAGTTTCATTTGTTGATTATATTTATACAAATCTACTTCTTCAATAAGCAGCTTCTTTCATGAAAAATTTAGCAGCTATGAGAAGGAAATGAGAATAAAGGGGGGGGGGGGAACCCAAAGTATCTAATCGGTCTACTGACCATTGGGCTCGGTTATGTCACAATTTAGTGGGGTTTTTTTTTACCAAAAGGGCAAACGAGTAGATTATTTAGGAAAATATAATAAGTAAAAGTTTATTTTGTAATTTGCAATATTTTTTATAGTATTCATAGAACTCGTCACTTCGATGTGATGAGTTTCAATAAAAATATTTTTTTATTTAAAATCGTCATGTCAAGATGAAAAGTTCTAATAAAATATAATTTTTTATTAAGTTTTATCACATCGAAGTAAAAAAGTTTAAATAAAAAATATTTTTTATTGAAACTCCACCTCGATGTGATGAGTTTTAAGTCACTATAACAAATGTCATACATATCTAAATAAACTTTTATATACTGTATTAGGTTAATTAATTAAACTGTCTGTCCCATTGAACTAAAAAAACCCAATTTAGCTTTATCTATCAAAGAAAAACAAGGCATGAAGCCCATATCCTAAAGGGTGAACTCCTTTAATTATGTATGGTTCTTTTCGACCCAAAAAGTTGGGCCTGTATGATATATTCAAAAAAATTTATCTCATTAATTGTCGTACTAGTGGAAATCGTGATCATGACCCCCACCTAGAGGCAATGTTCTAGTACGATACAAAGCAAGTTTGAAGACATTGCACATCTCGATGATAATGTGTGGAGAGAGGTCGTTGTGTATATAGCAGAGTCCTAGTGCAATTCCAAATCTCTTAGGCCAATCAAAGATAATATCTGATGGAATGGAACCATGGAGTTGGTTTCGATCAAACAAAAGAGTTGACGGAGAAAGGAAACCCAATTATTGTACCATAGAAGAAACTGTTACTGGCATAAAACAAGAAGATTTCTCCATAGCTTTACTTCATTGGAAATTTCTCCGAAAAAAAATTGTTGTTAATGATCTTGAGACGATAGAGATTATCCAAAACTTCTCGAGAGAAGAACTAAATTCATCAATATCAATTCTCCAGCTTCCTCAAGTTTTTAACTTTTCTTTTATAATCCAAGATTAATTGGTTGAATGTAATTATGTTGATATAGTTGATCGGATGTAATGTGAATATATTTTAATTGCAAATTTATATAAATGATAGAAAATAGTATAACCATGAAAAATGAATACTACATGATAAATTGACTTTCTTTCCTGCAGGAGTCTCTTGGGCGCAAACCACGATAAAAAATAAATTAAAAATTAAAAAATGTTATTAACATATATAATAAATAAGATTACGCCTAATAATTTTATGGTCAAGTAAGAAATAAGTTATGATCTGTAATGTTAATATTTCTTATTAATAAAATAGGTTACGCTCAAGAATGTCATAATTTATTAAAAATATGTTGCAATCTAAAATCTTAATATTTTTAATAATAAAAAGGGTTGCGCCTAAAATGTTAGTGCAATTTAAGCTTATGGAGCATTAGATTTTCCAATAATAAGAAAATAAGTTAAAAATGTTATAAATATATATAAGAAATACGGTTGTACCTAAAATTGTCATGGTTCACTAAGAAACAGGTTGTGATATGGAATGTTAATATTTTTATTAATAAAATGGGTTATGTCCAGGAATGTCATGGTTCACTAAGAAATATGTTACGATATAGAATGTTAATATTTTTATTAATAAAATGAGTTGCACAGAAGAATGTTAACCTTTAACATTCTAGATCGACTATTATAATTTGTTAACCTTAACATTATATGAGGTCAACTGTTATAATTTGTTATCCTTAACATTAAACTCATCTCTAAAACCTGAAACAATTTGAATAAGTAACCATAAAATGATTTCAACCGAGTGTTAAACACGAATAACAAAACTCAAAGTGACTTGAAATTATTTATTTAATTGAAGACATAATGACTCCAACTTTATATGATTTGATATTAAAATTGTTTAAATTCAAATTATATAAATTCAAAATAATTCACCTAAAATAACAAAAACAAAATAAAATCAAGATCGGCTTAACCTAAATAAACCTAAAAATGGTTTAAACTAAAAAGTGATCTAAAAGTAACTTGAAACAATCCAAATATAAAAGTAGTTTAAAATTATAATAAATCAAACCTAAAATAAATCAAGCAAATAACTTAAAACTTTTAAAATTCGGATAAATATGACCTAACTAGACCGGACATACCCCATTTAATAAGTCTAATTACAAGAAATGTCGGTGATGAAATACTAGAATATCACACAACACTGTAAATGATGAGTATATGCTCTTTGTTTTACATAAAAGGAATGTTGACGGACTTGATTTGAATATTAATAATGCTCATGAATATCAATATTAAAAAAGAAATATAAATATTTATTTTCATCGATCAATACTTTTTAATGATTTAAATATTAATATTTGTAATCAGAAATCTATATTAAATTATAAAAAAAAATGTTGGAATAATATTTTGGGAGAGGAGCAAATCTTGACGTAAAAGCTTTAAAAAATATCTATACTTTCGAATTAAAAAAATGATATTTTAATTTTGGAATTTAAAAGTATTAATAGTTTTAAAAAGTATAGATAGTTTCGAATTTAAATGCTTCGATCTGTTGGGAATCACAATTATTTACAAGATTTGATATTTTTAAGGGTTGTAAATTATATGTCATGGTATCTTTGACAATAGTATACAGATGTTGAATTCTCACTTGGATTATCTGTTTTGCAATTTAAACATTTCAGAATTTCCTGGAATCTGTTTTTTTCTCTCTCCCATTTACAGAGGCCGTGTTATAAAAAAGTTCGTCATTGCAGTTTAAGGATTTCAACGATCTGAATGAAATTGAAGCTTACAGTGAGAATGCAGTTTCAACGAATATGACGATGAATGCTCTTATAGTTAAGTTGGTTCATGTGATCATCTTGAAAAGATGATATTCATTAAATTATAATTATAATTTTGATTATTTTAGAAAAATGTGGGTTGTGACGGTCCTCTGTGTGTGTGTGTGTTTTTTTTTTAATTTTTATATTCATTAAATTATGTTGGTTCACGTAAAAAACACTTTAAAAATATTCATACTTTTGAATTAAAAAAATGAAAAATAATTTTTAACTTTGAATTTAAAAGTATTGATACTTTTAGAAAAATATTGATACTTTCGAATTAAAAAAACATTGTTTTAATTTTCAAAGTTAAAAGTATCGATAGTTTACAACCTTTTCATTTTCCATTCTTCTTTAAATTCAAAAGTATAGAAATAACGATACTTTGTAGCCTTCTCAGTTTCCATGTTTTTCTTTTAAATTCGAAAGTATCGATACTTTTGAAAAAAATATTCATACTTTCGAATTTTTATAGTAAAAAAAATTAACCATAACATTCTTGTGTGCAACCCATTTTATTAACAAAAAATATTAGCATTTCAGATCGCAATATATTTCTTAGTGAACCATGACATTTTTGGGCGCAACCCATTTTATTAATAAAAATATTAATATTCCATATCGCAACCTATTTTCTAGTGAACCATGATATTTTTATACGCATCCGTATTTCTTATACATACTCATAACATTTTTAATTTTTAACTTATTTTCTTATTGTGAGAAAATAATATTCATAATATTTATTGTTATAACTTATTATTTACTGTTATAACATTTTAGGTATAACCAGGGGCGGATGTACATGGCTCTCTAGGGGAGCCATTGCACACTCATTATTTTGAGAAAAGTGTTAAATTTAGTTTAATTTGTTAATAGGAATAAGAAAAAGTAAGAAAATTTGCATACCCAAATTTTTTTAGAATATGATATTAAAATTTTGGACTCCATTTTTTAATTTCTAAATCTGTTACTGGGTGTAACATATTATGTTACTATATTAATAACTTTTTTAGTTTTACTTTTAACTTGTAAGATAAATTTTTCGATTACATCATTTAAATTTATTTTAAAATAGTTACAACTTAATATATTATAAATAAGTTAACATTTTAGGTGTAGCTAAACCTATTTTGTTAAGGATTTTTTCATATTTTCGAATGCATCGTTTTTTTAGTTTTATAGTAATCCGGTTGCTTAGAATTTGCCGGGTAAAATTGCCGTTTTGTATGCATCAGATATTTTCAGTCTCGCATGTGGACCTCACCAACATAATAATAATAATAATAATATTAATTATACTTCTAAATAACAAAACATCTAACGGTCTCTCCCTCTTTCTGCTGTTTGGATTTTATTTATGATTTTGTTGGTTTGTGTTTTATTTTTCAATCTGTCAGTCTGTTTCGTAATTTTTCCTTAAGAACGGGAAGGGAAGAACAGGTGTACGTGTTTGGTCAATCACCTTTCTTCCTCACCCAAAATTCAAATCCTAAACCAAAAAAATAAAAAATTACGCATTCCCTTCTTCTTCATTGTCTGTTTCTTTCTCTCAGAAACCCAGCGGGCTCCCTTCATCCAAATAGACAGAAGAGGAAGAGAAGAAACTTCCATTGCTAAATTCTAGGTGTTCTTTTCTTGTGTGTGTGTGTTTTGTTTCATCGATCAATCTCCTGTTCGGCTACTTGGATATTCGTTTCCGTCGACGAGGATTGCAGAGAGGGAAGAGGGAAAAAGACAAGAAATACACGGTAGAATGTCGGCATTGGACCCTTCCGATTCTTTTCTCTTATCTCTCAGCAGAGCATTTTGTAGTCCTCTTGCTGTTTTTATTCAGATCCAGGTGTGTTTTGTAGTTCACATCCGCAAATAGATCCGGTTCTCTTTGGTTGGATAGGTTTTAACGTTTGGAAATAGGCTAAATTGCTTTATTGAACCATTTTTCAAATTTCCTAAACCTTGTTCCGTGTCTTTTCCCAGAAATTAACTGGATATTGGATTATGTCTTACTTTTAACCATCTTTATAGTTATCATGCTATTTTTTCCTTTTGAATGCTCCATGTAACCTTAAAGATTATTTTTAAAGAAAGAACAAATGCATGTATTTCATTGCCATGGATTTAGATAGCTAAGATCAGAACCGAAATATGTCTTTTTCTTAATTTATAATGAAGAAAGAATAGTGGTGTGACGTAGTGGAGATGAGGTGTTCAATATTTGGTCGCAAAGATGATTGTTATTAAAATAGTCAGTAATGTATATTCAGTGTCATTGGAATGGTTATGATGTTTATAGATGTAAATTCCTTAATTTTTCTTCGGTTCCATTTGTAGGTATTGAGGTTATAAGGTTTTAATATTGAGCTTTGAGATGAGCTTTGTTGAAATCAAATGGAATAGAAGACTCTTTCTCTGAATAACATTTTTCTGTAATGAGAACTTTATTTTAGTTTATTCAATTGTTGAAGGGAAGGCTTGGTATGCCACTTAATTTGAACAAACCTTGTCTCATTGAAAAGCAGATGAAGTCATCTGCTTGGCTACCTGATATTCTTCTGCTTTTGAATAATGGATTCCTTCTTTTACTAATCTGCTGTCACTTCGGTTATTTATTTATGAATGTAATGTTTCATTATCTAAAACCAATCACCTCTCTCTCTCTCTCTCTCTCTCTGCCTCTGTCGGTTACAACTAAAAGAAAGTTACCAATCTGAATATTTTGTATATAATGTAGGGATGTGTAATCTGCTTGACTCTTGCTATTGGGTGGGCTTTTGCTGCCTATGTCAGGTACATGGCTTTAAAGACATATTTTAAGCAGCAGGATGCCATGCCTATTCCAGTCGTCAATTACCATGAAAACTCAGCTATATTTATATGTACCTACATTTTTTCCTTCACAGGAGAAGAGAGAACAATAGAATAAAAGATGGCATGAAGGGTGGCAACAGCTTTTCTTTTCTATGCCATGATATTAATGAACTTGAGCACTCTAATCAAGTCAATCTACCAAGAGTTTCGATTGTGATGCCTTTAAAGGGTTTTGGAGAACATAATCTACACAATTGGAAGAGTCAGGTGAGTATTTTATGGTAGGCATTCTATCCAGTTCTTGTGGTGTCTCCTTTGGTTTGTGCAAGAACTGTGCATTTATCTTTTCCTTTCCCACGTTTTGTTATTAGAAAATTGTTATTTCCTTTAATAAGTTGTAGGCCAAACACCCCCCTTTTTTTAAAATTGCCCTACCAGGAGTTGGTTATTTCAAAAGGTTCATGTTTACAATAAATAATTTTCTGAAGTATCTATTTAATACTGATGGAGGCAGATCACATCTCTTTATGGTGGTCCTACGGAGTTCCTTTTTGTGGTGGAAAGTACTGAAGATCCCGCTTACCATGCTGTAATTAAGTTATTAGCAGACTTTAAGGTATTCCACCTATTTACTTTATTGTGCATTCCGATAATAGTAAGAAAATAAACTGACAAAAGAATCCAATAGGAACGTTAATTACCTTGTAATGCTTTATTCTAAAACTTCACAAAAGTTACATGCTTGCACTTTGTTTTATGCAAGTATTTGAGGCCTTCATTTGAGCTTCTTCACTGTCACTTGAGCAGGATGTCGTTGATGCAAAAGTCATTGTAGCTGGTTTATCAACAACGTGTAGTCAGAAGATACATAACCAGCTGGTATATAAGAACTTTACCAATTGCTAAACAGATTTTGCAAATGACTTGGCCTTTATTATCATTTTTTTAATATTATTTGAAATTAGTCCTTAAATGTTGATATAAAATCCCTCTGCTAGATGTGAATTCAGTAAAATACTTACAATATGCTTTTTTGGTATATTTTGTGAAAGGTTGGGGTGGAGAAAATGCATAAAGATTCCAAGTATGTATTATTTTTGGATGATGATGTTAGGCTCCACCCAGGATCAATTGGGGTCCTCACTACTGAGATGGAAAAGAATCCCGAGGTATGTTTGTGCACATCCATAACCCTTCAATCAAATTGATTAGGTTTTTAACCGTTACATGTGTGCTTATTATGGTCATGGTGCCTAGAGTGTAAACTATTGATATGTTTTGAGGTTCTCATTTTATTGGCAATATGTGCAGATATTTATTCAAACTGGATATCCTCTCGATTTACCGTCTGGAACTTTAGGGAGTTACTGCATCTATGAATACCATATGGTATGGTGCCATCTGCAATTACTGTAATTCCTGAGATATTTTTTTTTGGATAATTCAAATTTTTATTACCCAAAGGCAGTAAACTGCACAAAACAATAGAGGTAGAATTACAAGAAGCATCCAACAAACAGAAAGGCAATTAAGCCATCAAACAATGCCCCATTGATTACAAAGATTAATATTAACATAGCCTAGTCTTCTAATATTTCTTCCCCTTAGATGAAGACCGACCAGTTCCTTAATAGCTATGAACATTTCTGCAACAGTAGAAGATTGGCTTTGAAACAACCTCTTGTTTCTTTCCTTCCATATAGTATAAATCAAGGCATTAGATGCAACTTTCCCAACACGCAGCAGCCCAATCGAAAAAAGCATCCCAAGAATGATGTTTAAACTGTAAACCATTAAGAGAAAATAAAGCAGACCACAGGGAGGAAGCAACAGTGCACTCAAAGAAAATATGGTCTCTAGTTTCCACAGCAGCAGCACAAAAAATACAGTTCATGTCATTAACAATCCCCATTTTATGAAGCCTTTCTTTCGTAGGAAGACGGTCAAGAAACGCCATCCAGACAATGAGGCTATGCTTAGGAATGAGATGAGGGAACCAAAGTAAAGAGTGCCATTTAACTTTATGATTTTTAACTCTAATCTCGTTCCAGAGAGTATTAACATTCGGAGTATGAGAGGACAAAATAGAGGACGCTTCAGTCCTCAATTTTAGAAGCTGTTTTAAGCTCCAGCTCATGGCTGGTTTAACAGCAACATACCAGAAGTTGTTTTTATTATTATTTGCATATACCTGAGCATATATTTATTATTATTATTATTATTTGGGCGGTAGCATTGTTTTTATCCAAGAGAGCAGGGAAAAATCTGTTATCAGAACAACAATGTGACCAGAATTAAAGATATTAGTGACTATGCTGTATGCCCTATATTAATGGTTAAATTGTTACATAAGATATGGTTTATGCTGGAGTCATGCTCTCTAATATCTCATTTGTTTATGGCTTACTGTTTTATTCATGTCCTACTAACCAATCTGACATCATACCGATTGTAAGGTGAAAGCTTTGATTATTACTAGTCAAGCATTATGCTAGGTAAACGACCCTGTGGCCCTCTTAAAAGATTAAACAGATACACATCAAGTGGAATTGTGCACTATACATATTGATGGTAAGTTTGGTGCTTAGGGCCTAGGGGCAGGATTGGCTCATCTCTTCCGATTATGCAGCCAACCATTCCCCCCTCCCCCGAACCAAAAAAATAATTATGAATTGAAAAACCTTTGTTCTTAGCATATTATGCTCTAGCGGTTGATATTGCATGTCTCGTTGAATATGCCTCTTCTACAGCCTTGTTCAATGGGATTTGCTACTGGTGGGAAAACATTTTTTCTTTGGGGAGGGTGCATGATGGTATGTATCTCTTCTTATTCTTCCCAGTGCTCCCTCTGCAAAGTTGAAAGATTATTTCTGAGTCTTCTAGATTGTTTTTTAGATGCATGCTGATGATTTTAGACATGACAACTATGGTGTGGCCTCAGGACTTCGAGATGGTGGATACTCTGATGATATGACTCTAGCTGCTATAGCTGGTAATATAGTCTACTAAATCTCTCACTGATAAGAAATTAGATACTTCTGTTGATGTTAAATTACAGCTTTGTGCCAACCTTTTTACTGCTCATGTATTGTCTCTTCTCAGGAGCCCACAAGAGGCTTATTACATCTCCTCCAGTTGCCGTTTTCCCTCATCCTCTTGCAAGCGATCTTACTTTCTCAAGGTTTGTGATTGTTACCATTCAGCTTTTCTATTATATTTATATCCATGTTGACTTTCTATTCTCGAGTAGGTACTGGAATTACTTGAGAAAGCAGACATTTGTTTTGGAATCATATATAAGCACAGTTAATTGGTTAATGAATAGAGCACTGTTTTCTACCCACTGCTATTTGTCATGGGGATTTGTTGCTCCATACTTCATGGCTACGGTTCATGTTGCAGCAGCATTACAAATCTATATGAAGGGTTATTCATACGGGGAAACAACCTGTACTACTGGTGGTGAGTACACTATTTTTCCTTTTTAGGTAGGTCAGAACATTAGTAGTTCAGATGAATTCAATGTCTCAGGTCCTTATCTGGATAGATCAACTAGTCTAGTTGGTAGCTTCGAGTAACAGGAGTTTGTTATGCAGATAATTTACAAGTTCTACAACTAGAAATTTGCAGAAACCTTATAACGTGATAGGAATTTGTTTCATTTCAACCGGCAGATTATTCAGTTTGGTAAAATGGAAGTTAGAGTAGACTTTGGTAAATTTTGGATTTTGCTCCTTCAATTAAGCGAACTGTGTTTGCACAGGTTTGTTATTGGCGAGTTGGCTAGCTATTTGTACCTTTGCGGAGCTATTATCTATGTGGAACTTAACAAGGATTGAAGTTCAACTATGCAACACGTTATCTCCAGAGGCTCCTAAGCTCTCACTTGATTATTACAACTGGAGCATGGTAAGCACTTTTATTATCTCTTTAACAGGGGTTAGAGCTTGGATATGTTGTGGCAAAAATAAAATTATTTTGGGATTGAGCCAGATATTTGTCGCAATGCTAGTTGATAACTTTTTATACCCGATCTCTGCTTTACGGTCGCATCTCTGTCAATCTATCAATTGGTCTGGTATTCGGTATCGCTTGAAGAATGGAAAGATAGACAAGGTATGTTGAGGCGTTGCCATTCGTAATGAGCTTCTATCCATTTGTTTAAAGCTTAGAAGAAGTATTTGGCTACTCTGCAGATTGAAAGGAAAAAAGATAAGGGTCCAAAGTTCACAGACCTTGGGGGTAAGCATTTATATGGGAAGAAAGTAGCCACCCCCAAATCCTCCCTCCTCGGCTCTTTGGGGAGAAGTTTTGCTCACTGGCATCAACCCAAAAAATATGATGTCTAGACTCTAGAGATTCGATTATTTGGCGATTCTCTGACTTCTCCCTGTAATTTAGGGTTCATCATCATTATTATTTGTCTCAAAATTCAATCGATTTATTCTTAATTTATCAACCCTTCGTTGGGGTTGGTCTTGTAATTTGAATTGATTTCTCCCTGTAATTTTATAAATTCCTTATACGCAGTTAACAAGGTTAATATCCACAGCTAACTCTAACAACACTTTATGAATTTACAATGTTAACCGCAGTATTGGATCCATATTTAGCTGTGAATTTCTGATGCAAATGTTTCAGTTTATGAAGTGGAAAACAACACTAGTTTTAGGCTTGGCTCCGCAATATCTGTAACGAACTCAAACCAGACGACAATTGTTTCCTAATTTTCAGTTTTCAGTTACCGCATCAGCAAGGTCTCTCCAAAATACATGTAAATCTAGAAACGAAATCCTGTCCTGTCCGGAAAAAGAACCCTAAACCCTAGAAAGCCACCCACGAACCCCATAGCAAATGTAAATGGAAAATGGAACACAGCCAAGCACAGAGGAGCAAGACGATAAAGCGCAAATACAACACTCCCTACAACGCGCTTAGATCAATTTACGACGATCCAATCTTGGTCGGCAAAATCTCCCAGCTATGGCCTCAACTAGCTCCCTGGTATTCTCCACTCTTCTTGTTACTTTAAATCCACTGATGGACATACCAATAATTGGTCTTCCGGTACCTTCCGTCTCAACTTCCACATCGCCCTTCTCGCTGGTAAAATCCTCTATTCTTTCCTTTTTTTTGTCCAAAACCATACCCATTTGGACGTGTGTTTTGAATCGCTCCATCTTTAATTATTTGAACAAATTGTCTAATCATGATGCCTTACCGGTGAAGCAGGTGACTACTGCTAATATTCTCTGTTTAAGTTTCTTAAATTTTCATAATTACCCAAAATTAATTGCTAGTTTCTCCCCCCTGCCTCAACTTGTCGGTTTTTGTCTGCAGGACTCAGATGCAGAGCATAGTTGTGTTGATTGGGATTGTTCATTGTAACATCCCCTTTTGGTTTCCGAAGGCAGCAATAGAGGAGCGATCTCAAGGATGGACCAAAGACTTGGAAGCAAGTGGAGCTGATATTGCATCGTGCTTGAAGAAGCCTTTGCGTCCTCTATGGATTTCTCAGAAAACTGTCATCTGAATAAATGAAGTGCCGGATTATGATTCTTTGGATTTCACGACCGATAATTCTTGTTTCTGCCTCTTCCTCAAGCGGAGTAACTCAACATAGCACCACCTCGGAGACTATAGCGAGCTACTCGAGATTGAATTGATCAAAGTTCCATAAATACTTAATTTGAGCTTGACTCTCGAATTGAATGAGACGAAACGAGCTACTTGATACTCGTATCGAAAAACTCGTGAGCAATTCGAAAATATAATATATTAAAATTTTATTTTAAAAAAATTATTAGTAATATTAATATTTATGTGCTGATTTTTGTTAAAAATATAGTATAATTTTTTTATGTATTTAAGGTTTATATTAGAGTTTGAGTTTGAGACTTCAATAGAGTTAAGTTTAAGATTTTTTTTTGAGTTCGACTCGAGTTTGAAAATTTCAGGCTCACTAGTTTTTGAGTCGAGACGAGTTTCATTTTAGAATTTTTTGAATCGAGTCGAGTTTAATAATATCCGAGCTCGACTCGGCTCATTTACAGCCCTACCAAGAGGGAGGTGGAGATGATGAATAAACTTGGGCTAGGGGCTTCTCTGTCGTAGTGAACGTTTTAGAATCATATCTTTGTTACTTGTTTCTTTCTCTTTCGATCCCTTGTATTTTTGACAATCAAGCAGTAGCTATTTGCGTGATTTTCACGTGCCTTATCCATTGTTTTGATTTTGTGGTGCTGCTGAACGATTGCGTGTTGAATTGTGATCAATTGCCAATCTCTGTCCATCATCAAGATGCTGAAGTGTATCTGCTTCTTCCTATTGTGGTATGTATGCAAGTAAGCTGAAACATGAATTTTCTAATGATCAATTTTGTAAATTTCATGCTTACTTTTTTTGCTGACCAGAACTCAAAGATGGTAAACCCATGTGCCATTTTCCTTGTTTAAAAACTTTCCTTCTGCGATTACCTTTGCAAAATCAGATATTGCCAAAGGAAGAACACTTCTTGTATGTTGCCATAACGGTAAGCCCCATGTGCCATTTTCCTAAAGGAACTACCATTTTTGTTCTCAACAATCTTTGGGTTTTTAATGGCACTGGATATGCGTTCGTTATCAGGGGAAGATATCAGTGTACGCGTTTGTATGGCAATTTTGATATCATTGTTTGACGATGAAGGTATGCAATCTTAAGACGAACTTAGCTTCACATGACCATGCTTCTATCTAATTCTGCAATCCAGGGGAAACCTCAAAGAAGTTCAGTTTCCTTAACAGTGGAAAAGTAACCTAAGTTTGGAGACATTCGATCTCCTCACGTTTTAAAGTGAATGTTGCTGACCGGCAGAATTGTAATCATTAAACAATACAATCTTTAGATTTATTTAACACTTGAACTTCATGTTGTCTCGGTGTATTGGTAAAGCAAATTACAATTAAATGCAAGTAGGAATATAAAGGTAATGGGACAAGCCGTTGTTCTCAGCATGATGATACAACTATCGGATTCAAGTGTGGCAGCTTTCAGTTAACTTGTACTGTTTCTGTCAGTACGTGGACACGCATAAAACTGGAGTCACTTTCACGATTTCTGCCTATCAGCTCTGACTGCACAAACTAATTTGCCTTTTGAAAATTGTTACCATTTTGTTCGGCGCCAATCGAAAGCGCAAGCAAGGCCAATCAGTCTGGGCAAACATGTTCTCAGCCAGGAATTTTACAGATCCCCTTCCACATTTGCCTATTCAAACATCAATGGATTTGAAGGTTATCATCTAATTCATGCGGTACATGTAACTTCTCAATAGCAGCCTGTTTACAAGAGCACAGGAGGTCATCACCGCAAATATCTTCACTATGATACCTCGTTTGTGACAATGGGTCCATATATTGTCTCAACTTGAAGCTGGGAATAGAGGATGTTCTTTTTTTCTTCTTAGAAAGTAAAGGAAAGAAAAGATCAGAATACCTTAATTGTAGCAACATCGGTTGCAGATGGTTTCAAATCCAAAGCAATACCAAAATGGAGCATGGCCTTTTCATGCATGTTACGCCGCTTATAGATTTTACCCATCAAAGCATACACACTGCTTTCACGAGGGGCATACTCTTTAAGTTCTTCCAGAACTTCTAAAGCATCATCAAATTTCTCCAAGCTCATCAGTATATTAGCCTTTTGATAAATGGGAAAAGGGCTTTTCTGTCTGCCAGAATTGCCCTGTCCATTATCTTGATAGCATCCTCACTTTTCTGTAAAATGATTGCAATAAAAGTTCAAAGAAATTCTTGAGATGTAATAAAAAGTACATAAAGTACCCTGACCTTTAACGCGTGAAAAGCAGTTCCAAGAAAAGACATTATGACAGAAGAACGCGGATTTATTTGGAAAGCCATTCCAAAGTGATGCTCTGAAAACTCAAACTTCTCCTGACGAAGATAGATCATTCCCAGACCATATCAGGCATTGTAATGCCTATTATCAATACGAAGTGCATTCTGGTAGCTCTTGATTCCATTCTCAAAATCCTCTAAAGCAACAACATTTAGAACCTTCACAAGTGGAACCAGATAGAAGACATCCTGAGTGGTAAGGCAACAACATTTCAAACAATACAAATTTTCAAGGATCAAGGGAACTCACGTATAGAACAGTGGAGTAAACATCCATTCCTTCTAAACTGTAAGGAGACACCCGGCCGGCAAGACTAAATGCTTGAGCAGCTTCTAAGTAATCCACCAATTCGAAATGTGCTTTTCCAATCTGCATTAGATTTTTTTTTTTTTTAGAATTTGCGAAGACTACGGAATGAGTTGGTACTGATTCTCCCATACCTGCCCACACACATGCATGCAACTTTCAAGCACCTAAGTCCTACAGCTGGTAAAGTATTTCAAATCAACATACATAAAATGTGAAAAAAATACTACTGCAGAAATAGAACGTGCAAGACTATTGTTGTGATATGTAATCCATTTTTAACTACACTGTCGCAGAGTAAGCAAAAAGGATTGTGTATAATACGTCTATTATAGAGATTTTGTCGAGAGGGGATGAAATTACGAGCAAATTTTCAAACATGTAACTTAATTTTTCGCTAACAAGTACAAACGCAAATATGATCAAACACCGCCTTCTCCAAAGGGGATATTTCAGGCCCCGCAATTAACAACCTATAACCACTCCGAGTGCTATACAATCCTTATTTTTTGCCACTCCACACTTAGCAACCAACTTGATCGAAATTAGGTAACTTTATCCCCAAAATCGAATCTACATTAGTCTCGCGAAACAACTCTCGGATCAAAGACACCTTCCAAGTCCTAGAATCCGAATCAATCAATTCATCAACACGCTCCACCTGGATATTTCTAATAGTTGTAACGCAAGATAGGAGTATGGTAGGAAGCCAATAGTCATTCCATACAGAAATGGAAGTACCAAGGCCAACCTTCCCCCTCAGCTCACGATATAGGACACTACTCACTAATGATGTTGTGTTGACAAATAAGCGACATCATTGTTTTGCTAATAGCACGATATTAAACTTGGCTATATCTCTAAAATCAAGGTCGTTGGCTTTCTTCAAATGACAAAGGTTTGACCAAGGACACCAATGGATACCCAGTTTAGCCTCCAATTTCACCACCAAAATCGTGTCATAATACTTTTTTTTAATAATAAAAAGGCTAGAAGCCAAAACAAGCACTAGATTTTAAAATAAGGAGGGTCATGAATGTCCCTTTGCAAGTGTAAGGATGTAATACCCAAAATTTGGTTAGTGATGAAAATATAAATTTTGAAAGTTTGGCAACTAAAGTATAAACTTTGAAAAATTTAAGGACCACAAATATAATTTTAAACAGTTATATATTATAGCCCGTAAATGAACAGTTTGGACTAAAACAAAAAATTTCGTGGTAATCAGATTTTCGGTACGATATTTGTGTTAAAAGGTATAAAACGATAAAGTTCAGTATAGAAATTGGATAGTCGGATCGAACCAAAATTTTACGAGAATTTGAAGGATGTTAGATAAGAGTTGGAAATATTATTTTCATATTTTAGATCAGAGAAATTTAGAACAGATCAATATAATTTTTCAGATTTGGTTGAATAGTGGAAGATTTATGCAATTTTCGAAAATTGCATGGCCAAAATAAAAAGTCAAAACCAAATTGATTCATCTTTGACTAAAGAATATTTTAATGGAAAATAATGCAATGACTTTTGGTAATTATTAAGTTTCATTAATGGTATTTTGGGAATTTCTCATTAAATGAATTTTAAATTCATTTAAATTAGTATTATGCCATGTGTTAAGGATGATTATTACTAGAAAAATCAAGAGAAAAATCACAATTTTTCAGCTCATCTCCTAGGCCGAAACTCCATTTTTCTTCAAGGTGAGAATTTCATTTTTATTTTTGAAGCTTTATAATTGATTTTTGGACTAAGTTGTGAAATAGAGAATTGATTTACATCAAATTCTCTATCATTTGGTATAAGAAATTCATGTTAAACATGATTGGATGTTGAGATTTGATGATTAGGGTTTATGATGGGTTTATGGATTTTGAAGATTTGATGAAAGATTATTATGTTTTTTAGGTTGAAGATTAATTGTAAGGCATGCATGATGATTGAAATTATTTATACATGCTTATATTAGGGTGAGCAAACTTAGGATTGATGGAGTTGGATTTAATATGTTGTTATTATGATTAGAATAGTATGAATTATATGTAAGAAAGATGAATTCATGCTTGAAAGTGATCTAAAAGTTCACCCTAGGTAACATGAAGTACTCGACCATAGGGGATTAATTAAGGGGAAAATATTGAAAATTTTCCTATAATCGAGAATTGATATTGAAAGTGTTCTATGTGATTTGGAGATCAATTTGGAACAATTTAAAGCTTGAATTGGAAAAAAGCCTAATTTGCAAGTTTTGAGAATTTAGGGACATTATAGCAAGAATGTGATAATTGGGTTTTTAATTTCAAATTTTATTTATGCAAGGCTGGAATTTTAAGTTGGAAAGTTGTTAGGAACCATATTGCAAATTTGGTAAATTTCAAGGTGGAATTTGAAAAGTCTCAAAATTTAGGGACTTGTTTGTGAGTTTGGGAAAATGTTGGTATTATTTTGAACAAGAAATTGTAATGCTGGAAATTTTATTTAGTATGCTGATTTTTGAGTTTAATTATTTAAGTTTGGATCAAATTGCAAGTTTGTAGAGATTAGAGGTTGAATTCGAAAAGCCTAAGAAGGTTTAGGATGAAATTTCAAAATTTTTAATGGTAAAGTATTGATTTGAGAAATATATTAAGGTACTAGAAATTTTAGTAATTAAGGTGAAATGATCATAATGGTGAAGGGCTATTATGGAGTTAATAGAAAAGTTAAGGTGAATTCTAGAAAGAATTCATAATTAGTGGCTTGATTGTGGAATTAGAAAAAGTTGAAGGGTTTATGATGACAATATATATTTTTGGAATTGAATGAATATTTTGAGAAGTTTGAAATTATGTTGGAAATACGATTTAGTTTCATATCAATTAAATTTTGATTTATTTCTATAGATTTTTATATTAATAAGTTTGAATTATGTTAGTATGATACTAACATATGATTCGAATACTTGTGTTATTATGTAATGTTGTCAGACTACGAAAAATCTAGTAATCCGAACGACTCGAAAGGAAAAAGCTCGTGAGTAGGTGTTTGTACAAAATTTCTGTAGTGTGGAAAATGTGAGTGTAGTTTACTTATTTAATTATTCTGAACGAGTATGACTTGTGATAAGTCAACCTCATATTATTTTTAAAGTATAATTTATGATTTAATTATGGATTATTTCCATAATATTTTTACAAAGTTTATGAATGATGTAGGGTATGAAATGTCTAAGTTTATGTTTTATAATGATGAATAAAAATGATTATGATATTGAAATGTTGATTGTAAAATGAACTTTAAAAAATTTAAAAGTCCATTGTATGTTGCATGGAGAGTCTTATCTACAATTGACATGTCATGAGGTGGAGTGAATTTGATTCTGATTTGGTCCACTTGTTTACATTATGTTTACATTATGTGAATAAAATCATAAGATGTTTCTTTTCAAGTTTCTGATGAAGAGATTAAGTGAATAAATTGGTTTGAACATTTTGTGATTTTTATTTAAATTATTCTTGAGTGTTTTAATATATTTTTGATATTTTACTTGTTTATTCTCATCTTACGATATTACTTTTTTATTAAGTTATACTTAGCATATGATGATTTTCATGTGTAGGTTCGGATAGAGATCAGGACATGTAGTGAGGAGCTTCTCGAGCATCTTTTGGGAAATCACACCTACTACCTGTATCAGTAAGATATCTTCGATGTTACTTTTGACTTGTAGTGTTATGTATATTTATGTCATCAATTTGCTTTACAAGTTTTAATTTAAAATAATTTGTAATAGTAAATTAGAACTATTTTATTTTGACTATATATATATATATATATATATATATCCATATTTATGAATGATTAAAATACATATATTATTATGCTTTAAATAGTTTAAAATTTTAGCAGAGTTTATGCAGTTCTAAATATTTTATGAAACAACATTAATCTGCTTAATTATTGTCTAAATTCAAATTTATTTTCAATAATTAAATATTGTTTTATGATGATATAGAATTAAAAGAAAAGTTTAAAAATTTAAAATAGAAAGTTTCATAAAAAGAAACAAAATTTTAAGTATTTATATTCAGTGAATTTATGTTAATTTGATGTGATATCTTTAATTCGTATTTTAAGAGATTTACACGATACGAGTGTTATAAAGGATCTATTCTTAGTGAGGTTCCGTGAGCACTTTAGTAGAATCCAGAGGAAGATGAAACTTTTGCAAAATCAGCTGCAAAATTCGCTTCACGCCGGATCAGGATGAAGTTGACAATCTAAGACTTCGAAACTAACTTAGCAATGGCTCGGACAAGGGCGATAGGACTCAAGTGCGCTGTGGAGGAGGTGACAAGGTTCAGCGCTTCAGAGCAGTCAGTTTGGCATTGAACACATTCAAAGCCATTATTCCGGGAGAGGCGAAGACCTTTGAGAATGCCCCAAAGCTCAGCATGGAGGGCTTGGGTAGCGCCAATGTATTTATTAAATCCTAATAACCAGTCTCCAAGGTTGTTCCTGATTAGGCCGCCGACATAGCTAGCAG